TACTCATTTCGGTATTATCTGCACGAATGCTTTTTTAAATCGCATTAAGCGATTTCGATATAATACGTAATGAAATATCGAAACGCGTATTAATCGGATAATCGTGTTCCACGCACCACTTTTATATAATTACTTTTCTTTCTCTTTAATCCATAGTTAAATGCGTCCTTCCTTCCCACGAGAACAGTAACAATATGCAATTAATATCACGTACAACGGGAATCGTATTACACATGGACGGATGGACATATTTAATATTGCGATAGTTTATGTTTATAATAATCGTTTATAATCTCTCTCGTGCGATGCGGCTTTTATATTCCGCACGCGACATATACATTTAGGTATACGTATCTCGCTAGATTTTGCCGAATGGAGTTGAATAAATATGTAGGGAACAGCATCCCACACAAATTGTGTTCCGATACGATTGTTGCACGATACATATACAAGCATAGGTGCAGCGATACGATATATTATTTCTCAAATATGTATACATGGATATCTATATTTTCGCGTGAATATCGTATCAATCCGTCGGATGGTTTTAACGGAATTTTCTTTATAGCGCAAAGTGTCGCACGAGAACGAGAAATGCACACTATTGTTATGCTTTCTCACTTGGTTACATTTTTAATATCATCACGTTTACAATATCGCGAGCATCATCTAATTGTCATTGTTGCTGCGATTAATTCGATTTTATCGCCATGAAGAGCTGAAATCTGATCCATCCCTGTGCTCTATTTACATAATATTTATTAAATATTGAAATATTTTCATCATTCCACGCGATTAATATCATTATCCTTTTTGTGATAAGAGAATTCTCGTATGAGAGGAAAGAGCGCTACTACTTTATTATCTTATGTTTTAAACGATATAATTACCGTTTTTTAATTACCGCGAGCGATCAATGCGATAATTATTATCCTGGCAATCATTTTATCGAGAGAGAGAGAGAGAAAGAGAGAGAGAGAGAGAGAAGCGCCGTTTCTTTTCGCAGCGTTTATATTTTATTAATGGCGAAACATTTTAATTAACGCGAACGTTTATTCAATAACCTGTAGGTAATTCGAGTAATTTGCACGATATAATTTGTGTAATTGTTTCTAACATAGCAGTGTACAAAGATTAATTTCATAAGGAGCCACTTATATTCGCGAAGTATTAACGACACCGCTATGTCGCGCCGTTTCCTTTGCGGCTCGGCAGCATCCGTTCGAGCGGTGAACGAGAAATGTCTTTCCTTGAAACAAGCGATAATAATTGCTACGAGACTAGTTATTGGAACGGGAGTTAATGCATAGAAACATAGCGTAGAAATTCCCGTATCTTGTCGTCGAAACGCTAAAGAGTTTCGAGACTTGGTAATTGTTATTCAAAGTATCTTGTCGCGCGGTGCGGTTAGTTACAATATATACGTTCGGACACTACGTCTAGCTTTTGTGTAGCATATTGTTAGTGCTCTGGACGCGTGCGCACACACACGCACACATCGGATATTGTCGCGGTCATAGATTCTACGACCAATTCGGAGCTGACCTTCCTCGCTTTATAGGAGATTGCAATTCGCGCACGCCAAGTTTTCAACCCTCCATCGTAAATGTCACGGGAGTTCAGCTACGGGAATTGTGTATAAATTGGATTTAATAATTTTTTGATATCAATCTCTAATCAATTATAATACCAATTTAAACTTTTGATAAAACAAAGCCGAGTCGAAAACGGAAATCTCGAACAACTTGGAATAAATATCGACTTTATATAGTAAAACGACCGTTGTTTTTGCTCATTTTGCTCCTTTCCCCTTCGGTATCCTTTGAAAGGAGCATCCGTTACGCGTGCGCGAGACACTTTGTAAATAAACTGCGCAATACTTTTAACAAACGCGCGACAAAATGGAGCATTACGACGGCGACGCAACGGTACCAAGAGAGGATTCTGACGGTGTAGCTGTCGGCTGTCGGTGACACTGCTCGTCAAAGGCTCTCGGGATAAGCATGACGACAGAGCGCACCGATCCATTTTGTATGTCCATGAATGGCGAACCATCGATGACGAGAAGACGGTACATGAGGACGGATGCCGAGCAAAAGACGATACCGGCTGCGAAAATAACTCATCTCTCTATCCGGCTATCCTTTCGAGTAATCTAACGGCATGTCTAATTTAATTTACGTGTTTACGAATCCGCCGACTTAGCTGAGGCGAAGGGAGATCGATACCGATGGACCGCGGACTTAGACTGGAATGATTTGTTGGCTGACTGCCATCGTCGTAAATTCTATTTTCATAGAGATACACGCGGTGCGGCCGCGAGACTTGACCGTGAGATTTGCACGCTGGACTTGCCATACGGAAACAGAAAAGGGATGCCTGAGTGAATTCCTCGTCGAATTCCTCGCGAAAAGAATTTTTTTCCCCATCAGCATATGCCAGCTGACTCGACTCTGACTTGCAGTCACACTTTCGCAAGTCACAAAGAGACACGTACACGTGAAATATTATATTCGCGGAGGGGTCGAGATAGAAATGTCACAGACATGATGAACATTCGAGATACTAATATTGTTCGAAATAATATTAAAATTTTGAATGTGCAATGAATGGAGCGACATAATATGGATTTATGAAATTTCTGAAATGCACGCGTAACTCAAAACATAAACGAAATGGAACGTATAATTATCTAATTTAATATATTAAAAATACAACGGGCAGTTCGCGTGTCTCTTTAAACTCTTCTCTCTGATAATCCGGTGAAGGGAGAAAGATGGACGGGAGAATTTAAATTTTACACGCTTCAACAATCAAACGCGGAATTGCGCTGCGTTTTATCGTTCGTCGTGTATTCGCAATTAATCAGAGAAGTTCAACGGCTGATAATTTAATAACGATTGAATGAAGGAATTTTTAGGGTTTCGCGAGAACGAATGCGCGAGCAAACTCGATGCGCTATCGTGTTTGTCCTATCCTTGCACGAAACGTCGTGCGATCGCGATATATTACAGGATACAGGATGTTGATATGTCGGTTAGAGATAGATTCATATGTCGGAAAGCCGTGGACGATCGTTAATGCGTAGGAAAGCTGGCCAGGCGCCAGATAACACGCGGGGAGTCACAATTCCTCGGGCATTTCGGTACACGTCGAATTCAAAACCATCAAACGTTCGGAAACGCGAATAGAAATAACTGCGACAAGAAATATACATTATGAAAAGTTCACTGTATTTTAAGCTGCATGCCATCTAAATAACAAAAGTATATGCTCTTTGAACGTTGCGTTTATTTTCTTTTAAAACCATCGAATAATTTTCCTCGATATTTTTCTTTACGCTATCTCTTTGAATTATATTTATATTTTTACGTTGATTTTTACTGTAATTAAATGTATCATATGTTACATTTACATTATTTATTATATTGTATATTGCGTTATAATATTTGTGCATATTTTACTTTTGATCGCTCTCACAATAGCGGATTTGATTTGATAGCAAAGCAAGTAGATCGTACCTATGTGTTTCGGATTAGTATGAAATCTTTTTTTCCGTTAGTTTCTAAAGTTACGGAAAAATGCTACCAACGATCGATTAATCTTACGTTGTCCACAAGCTCGATAAGCCTCGACCATTAGCTCGTCGGTTGATAGTTGTCAAGGAACTCATCGGTCTCCCATCGATCGACGAGCTATCAATCGCGTTTGTGACCTTCGCGGTTGATCGCGCAGAATGGTTTCACATCGAAGACTTACGATTAGTTTCGTTCA